TTGCGGGAATTGATATTTTTTTTATTAATTTGCCGCCATGCTAAGAAGGAATTCCCAAGCCCAAGTTATTTATGAAACGAACAAAATACCGACAGAATTTTACTTTCGATTGGCCTGCGTCCAAGCGGCAAATTAGCGGAACCGGTTTGTTTGTATAAATCAACACCGAAAAGTCGCTGCCAAATGGCGACAAATTGCCAAAACGTATCTCTTTCATGTGGCCGGCATATTTTGATGGTAGTTGGAAAGGCCCAAAACATCTGAGGCATAGCAAATAAAATAAAAGCTCACAATGCAAAACATAAACAAAGATTTTTTAGCCGCACATTCGTACAATGAACTGTCATATGCAAAATATTTTCGTTACGGCAAATATATTCAGAAAGAGCACGCCAAGTTCTATGTACTTTTGCGTATGGAATATTCAGTACCTATTCTTTTAATGGGAAAAGAAAATCCACAAGTATATTGTGAGTTGGGTAACATAATTTGTTTACAAAGTTCAAGCAAGGAATTATTTAATAATTTCGATGATACTATTAAAATCTATGTATGGATGGTAAAGTAACCAACATGAAAGACTATGCATTAAATCTCATTTCTAAATTAGTGTTTTCTATAGACCCACTTATAGAAATTCAAGATTTCAAGTTCATAAGCGCAACCTTTAGCGCAAACTATTAGCATTCAAAAAGATTATACATTTGCATTAACTGTTTGAAAAGTATTTTGCATTGTTATGCTTTCCTGCAAGGTGTTCAAAATTCCCAACTCAAATCGTTTGTTCTTTCCGAAACTTGTTTTCCGTCTTCGAGTGCGGACATTCCCCGGATTAAGTATCGCCAAAGAAATTCGTTGGCAGCCAAATCAAAACAAGAAATCCAATTTTCAAACAGCTGCTTCGGAACAAGAAGCTCATCTCAAAATCGCTATGCTGGCTTTCTTTCATCCTACAAGTTTCTACGAGTCGAGTATAAATAGCTGCGGTCGCAGCGATTTCAATTAGATTACCATCCAAGCTCCACAATACCAAACCAAAGCTCCAGAATGTCGAGAATCCTTGTCGCCGCCATCGCCTTCGTTACCATCTATCTGGTCCTTGTCAGCGCCGCCCCCGCACCCGCCCCGCCCACTCAGATCCTGGACGCCCGGACGGCCATCCAGAAGATAATCGGTAAGTTGGGCCCATAGTTGCCGTGAACTGTTACCGGATTGACCCCCAACTCCCTTTTCTTTTAGCCGCATACAACCGCATTCCGGGTCCCTCAGTTGTTCACCCCTGGGAGGTGGCCACTTTGATTGACCCGAACACCTTTGTGGCCCACTTCTGAAGTCCCACCTACACCAACACCAACACTACCTGACTACCTAAACTAAATGCCCAAATAAATGCCATACGAAGTATAAGTTAAACGAAAGCCATATTCTAATGATTTAGATTCTAGTTACTTATTTGGCAGACTTTTTAGGTGTTCTTAGGAATATGCCAAATCAAATTTTACTCCAATTAAATAACATTTATGTGGGTGGAGCGAAACATACCCTGTACGATGTAACAAAGTTTTTTGCATGGCAATGATCTTTTCTAATACACTCTGTATGTCATAATGTCAGCAGGGATTTTTTGATTAAAAAGAAAAATGCAACAGGCCAAATTAACTTTTGATAAACTTTAAGCATCAGTGTTTAAGCTTCAAAAATTATAAATATATTTTATATATATTCTTGATCAAGACCCTATGTCGGTTTGTCCGTTCGTTTGTCCGTCCGTTTGTCCGTCCGTTTGTCCGTCCGTTTGTCCGTCCGTTTGTCCGTCCGTTTGTCCGTCCGTTTGTCCGTCCGTATAAACGTCGATATCTCGGAAAGTGAAAAAAGCTATACATTTGAAATTTACCATTTCTGTTCCATATGCCACACCCTCTAGCTGAATAACGGGTATCAGATATTCGACTACAGCCACCTCTCTCTCTCGTGTTTGTTTTAGTTTTGGCCGGAAGGGGATTTCCGTTTTGCAGTGCGCAAAAGTTTTGCCGCATTTTTGGCGGCAGATGCAGAGCTTAACTAAAGTTGTGTAACTAAACTAAAGCAAAGTCACTTTAGCCCAGCGACTTATCGTGTTGCAGAAGTTTTTTGGTCATTCGCCTTTTCCCCGCAATTGGCTACAAGGACAATTTGATAACAAGTGGATTACCAAGTCATGGGACAAAGTTATCGCTCACAGCTGAATCTCAGTACGAGGATGCACAAGATGCCCCAGATGCCCCAGATGCCAAAGATGCCCAAGTGTTTGCTCAGCCCTCGAATCGGTGAAAAAAATGCTTCTGTTCTCGGTGGAGCACTTAAATGAGATGCAATATTGTTATCTAGCGAGATAGGCCCCACCATCGATCCGCGGGCTTAAAGTCAATGCCAATGTCAACGGCAAGGTTAAAGCCCTGCTGATATTACATATTTGCGTTGCCTCGTCATAAATGCATTTCAGATAACTGCACCGGGGAAATGGAAATCGCCCCAGTGCAAAACTCTCCAAACCTAGCCAAGTGAAATAAATTGCCTGTCCGGGTCGTAAAAACTTGCTCATATCGTTGGATATGGACCGTGCTTATCCCATACGCTACCGCATTTTTTTTTTATCGCCCACACGTTTGACGTAAGGTCATGAATAATTTGTCAGCACTTCAAGCAAGAAAATCGTAGCCTAAACTTGAGGGACGACAAACAACATTTAAGGATTCTGCGCCAAAAGTTGCTCAACTTCGAACACATTTGGTCCATTTTGCAGCAACACGTAAATATTCCCCAAAATAAAAGCTAAAGATACAAATTCTGATGAGTTATAATGACTTAAAAGTTGGCTAAGGGCTGCCCAGCAATAAATTAAAGCGCTTACAAGTAGATGCAATAATTAATTATCCCAGAAAGGGATTCGTTTTTCATTTCAGAAGTTCAAAGGGGTAAGAGCGAATTGAACTGCTGGCAATTTCTAAGCGGCGGTATTGGCAGTTTATTATAGGTATTATTGCCAAACAAAAATTAAATGACAACAAAATTAAATGTAATTTAAAATTTATTATATTACAGTATTCAATAATTAATTATATCAGAAAGGTATTCGTTTTGCATTTCAGAAGTTCAAAGGGGTAAAGCGACTTTAATTTGTGGCACTTTCTAAGCGGTGGTATTGTCATTTTATTAGATTTATAAATGGCAAAAAAAAACAATTAATTACAAACAAAAATATTAATTTAAAATGTATAAATGCCAAAAAACCATTAAATTACAAACAAAAATAAATATTCACTTAAAATGTATTATATTCATAAATGCCAAAAACAAGTATTAAATTACAAACAAAAACAAATATTCATTTAAAATGTATTGTATTGCAGCATTATTATTATTATTGTACGCTGTATGCTTAATTTGAAAAACCGAGCCACAGAATGGGCTGCATATAAATTCATATAATATTTACTTATTCTAATTGGATACTTATTGCAAGGGGCAAAATATATAATTTAATATTAGCCAGGCTAAGTTAAGCTTGCAAAATCCATAAAATCAACAGAGAACGCAACTGTGAAGCATCTGAATAATTGGATATCTGTTACTGCTTTATATTTAATTCTCTTTTTTAGTCAACCTCTTTCATAAGGATCCAAAGATGGATTTGTTGCCAAAGTAAGTAAGCCGTCAAAAATAATGACTGCTACGCCAAATAGCGAGAAAATTCGAACTGAATTCAGTACAGAGACACTTTTAATCCTACCAAAGGCTATACTAACAAAATTTTAACGAAAATAAAAAAAAAGTTGTTAGAGCCCATTCAAAAAATAGTCACGTGCAAAATTCAATTCATATTATTTTTACCTAGAAAGCAAGAGAATTGAAAACACCGTAGTTTTTAGGTTCTGATTGAATAATAATGTGTATCACCACAGTTCTTAAAACATAAAATATATGAAATGCATATTTAGGGTCGTAAATGGTTCCTTCTACCTGGTACATAATTTACAACGAATATAATATACCCATTAACTCTACAGATGAGCTTTTCTTACTGTACCACAAAACGGAAAAGGCATTGTTCCCTTTTAATTCATTTTTAGTATGAAATTTGAGTAAATGCTGTGCGGAAATCCTCTTTCAAGATTAAGTTAATTGTATTTGACAGCTAATTGTTCGCATCAAGATGGGATTGAAAGGATTAAATACCAAAGAAACCAAAGGCGAATACGATTTCTAACACATATACACATGGAAAACAATTTTGTAGTCAAAAGAATTTTTTATGTTTGACTTTCAGCAAGTGAAAGAAAAGGTAAATTCCAAAATTATCATCACATTATACGATTTGAGGGTTTTAAATTTCGACTGTGGCAAGATTAAGGAACATATTAGTTAAAAAGCGATATGCAACTTAATAGTCTGGTGCACCACATATAATGTATTATAAACATAGATAAAATGTAAATTTCTGCTATTGAGCAATAAACTTGTCTAATTGCAATACATGTGGTTTGTTCTGCCTCCAGTTACACTTTGAGATGTATTGAAAACTGGATGCGTCGCCAAAGTAAATATCCATTACACCACTACCGCAGCACTAATTATTCCCTAATTGGTGGATAGTTTCTAGTTCCGCATCGACAGTTTTATGGGCAGACCCTAGCAATTAATTTGTGAACGTGGTCGCCTAGGTTTTTTATGTCCCTGACAATGGCATTTTACGAGCTCTTTTACGACTGCCTAAGAGCCAGTATCTTGGACAGCTGTTGAGCTGCCAAAACAAAGTTTATCTCGATCAGGAATTCCCAGTGGAATGCTGAAAACTGGGTGGCAAACTCAATGAAGCCAGACCCAATCAATTGAGGAAGACGGAGAAAGATTTCTCGCATGAGGCAGTCGTATAAATTCGTTAACCACTATTAAACTACACCGATTCGCATCGATTTGCATTGCAAATTAGGCCCCCCCTTGGGCCAAATATCCAGACTTACCTGCCATCATCCAAGGCACTCCTAATCTCGCCCACCATCTAACCGAATGGCTTTAATTATGCAAATAAATGGCGCCACGAGAAGCTGCTAAAATGGGGAGACAAACAAACAAATAACATTTTTAGATATCTGATAAATATCAATTTCGGACGACAAGTTAATAAAATCAACTGAGCGCTCGACCCACGAATACCTACTAGAGGTGTTTTCAACAAAGTTCCTTATTACATTACAAATCGAATCTGCATAGCTAATTATTTTGATTAAAAGAAACTTTTTCTCAATTGAGCCTGCAGTGTGGAGCAAAGTTTCTCCAAGCAACGACAATGGTATCTATATAAATACATTAGATATCTGATATCTGAGCGGGGGATGCGCGTGTTTTCACTCAAATTCCTTCCATATGGTGGGATATCAATTACCGTCAGACGTTTACCATCAGTCAATGACTTCGTTTGCTTTTCGAACAGGTTTGCTGGCACTTTGCGCACAGGCACTTTATCTACTCGCATATTGTTGGCTGGCAGGAAAATTTAAACAATAAAGCCAAAATAATTTGTTGGGATTACTTTGTGGTGTTTGCTTATGGATATGTGATTATTCATTAACGTAATATCCTTTAAGCAGTTATGTGGCTATTTGCAGATTGAATGCACGGCAAACATGTCAGATAATTGAATTATTTCATTTTGCAAACGAGCTTACTGCAATGCCACATAAAATATTAATCACGCATTAATGCAATAAATACACATGGCTGAAAGCCAATGAGCCAGAAGCGGAGCCCCGAAATGTATGCTACAAAAATTGGTATGCATGAAATCCTTTCGCGCCATCACGCGCATTTAAGGATTTAATCAACCCTATACTCGAGCATGTGTGGTATCAAATTTGAGGCCAAATGGTTTTTTTTTTTGGGATTAGCAGGTGATAAGGTATACGAGTATCGAGTAGCAAACTTTTGCTCGTCTTGGATAATGGAAAAGTTGGTGGAAAGCTCTTAAGGTAAGCAGATTGGCACGCATGTGCGTGTATTGATGGCCAAAACGAGTCCCACTCCGAGGAGATGAGAAATGATGCCTGGGCTGTGGACACGCCACGTTAACCTGGATGATGGGCGACAGTTTTCCGGCAATTGAGGCGCATCTTGGCCAAAAGCTGCCTGCGTGTGCTGGCCCATCAAAACTGATGGCTGACGGAGCCCAGTAACTTATGACCATAAACGAAATTAGTGCTTGCTCGACAATGAGTCCTTTGTTCGATGCGGCTAATAAGGCGAAATCAAATAAGACTCATTGCAATTACACGAGGGCCATGTACCGAGAAACATAAACCAAAGCTGAACCGATCTGAACCCGTCTGAAAATGTCGAGCCAACAATATTAGGCTGCAAGTCGAAGGCACTCTCATTTCATTTTCAAGTCCAACAAGCAACTGTTGCCTGGGTCAAGAAACTGTATGTGAATTTTTATTAAATTCCTTATAAATGTATTCTTGGCCAGGGTTGGATGGCTTGTCTGGCAAATTTGTTGTAGTCTGCTCTTATAACCCCACGATTTGCATACGATTTAATCCCCCACCTATGTCAAGGCACAGTTGAATAAAACTGAATAATCCATGACAGATCGAAACAAACAAGCCAGTTTTCATCAAACATTAAGGTAAAACACATTCGATGTGTTGAAATTGGTTTATGGGCACCCGTAACTTCCACTTCCAACGAGGCAGATTGCATGGCTCACTAGCGTCGGTAAAATGATAGCCGTTGATTCGATTAATTTGTTGAATCTAAATGTAATTATACAATCCCTTTTAGGCTTTTACCAAATTTTTAAGCGTGCGGGTTCCATGTAGATTTTTAAATATTTTATTTTCGGTAGATCGGTTTTAACAAGATAAATACAATCTAATTTAAAAATTAAATTTGATTCTGGTTATTTCAACGCATAACGTTGCCATACGTGGAATCTGCGAATTTTCTTTCATACGGACGGACAGATATACGGACAAACAAATCTGGTCTACCTTTTTACTTTACGACTAACAGGCGAAGCTTATTTCCCATAAATTATTAAATTCCTTAAGCATGACAAAATTCCACGTAACATTTTCGACAGCACACTACTAGTAGATTTTTGATTGTCATTGAAAATACTCGTTGTCATTGTTGAATTAAATAAGTGATGAGCACATGTTATACACGCCTTCGATTTATTCAAATGTTATATAATGAGATGGCTTTATTCAAATTTATAGGATGTTTACAAGGAATGTAGTCTGAACTTAAAGCACATTTAAAGCCGCGTACTGCGAGGAATATCGCAGAGATATTGCCAACGAAAAAACGCGTTTCGTTATTGAAACCATTTGAATGCTTTTTGTGCTGACTTTATTTGAGCCACAAAGGCAGGCGCGATATTGTCTACCATAAATCAAAAGAGCTCCCCGTTTATGAAGGTTCGCTAAAACAGTGGGATTCGACATCCCGGCGACACCTGCCAAAGAATGTGTTCGTCCATCCTGGACACCAATTAATCATAAGGCTATGTATCCTCTGTATATATACAAATATGTATATACCTGAAAAAAGAATGCTTCTGGGAGTGTCCACTCGATTGAACAGAAATTTTCCACAAGGAGCGTCCATTCTGTTTACGCTTTTCATAATCCATTTGACAGCAATCTGGGAAATAGCGTTGCAGGTCAGTCAGGAGCAGCTTGGATTACTTGTGCAACCCGAGAACCGATACATTCAGGTATCCTGGTGGTCACCAATTGAAACCACAAACATTTGTTGCGCAACCCGTCCGTTTCAGTTAAATCAGATACGCCCATTACTTGGTCAACTCACGGCATTTGACGGTTTTGTTTTTGCTGGCAAATGACAGCCGTGTTACGGATTTATGTTTGATTACACAAGCGTCTTGGCCATTACGTATTTCCAGCTAGAACTTTTCCTTTCATTTTGCCCGCAGCTAGCCATATCCTGCGAAAAGTAATTTAAATGGCGACCCCGTGCTCAAAGTGATTTACCTCCTGGGTATTGCTCATCTTGTCTATTCGGGTAGCGGGCTAAATGCTTTTTATTGGTTTTTACACTTTGACAGATTAAAATGCTGATTTGCATTTGCTGATTAATGTTTGCTGATCGAAATAGAACCCACAACGCAGCGAAGCTCGAACGCTTCTTGGCCATGTTTGATTTGACTTGGCTGCACGGAGAGAAAATACCGTAGATGTGTGACTTATTAGAATTATTACTGGAATATGAGTACTTAACGCTCTGTTCCAAGCATTAATCGATTATACAGGATGTAATCCGTCAAGCGAACAACAAAGGGCTGCAAAGCTGTTAAGTCATGTTTAAATTATAGGTGTTTTCAAGGATACGCCATAAATAACAAGGCTCTTTGGAAAAGCCAGCTCGATGGCTCGAGAATTGCGTGCCAGACCCTTGATGGCCTTGATCCTGGCCGAATGGCCCCGCTTTTGCCAATTCATCCAGCTCTGATCAATTATGGCGCCCTAATTTTTGCAAAACAACAATATCCTGAATGGCATGTCTCCAATGGCTTTGTGGAATATGCAGCATGTCAAGTGGAAATTACTCACTAATGTGCAGCTGGATAGCCCATGAAAGTTAATCAACTGCATTGGGGCTTGCCATATATTCAGGGCAAAGGCGATTAAACTTGCACTGGCTAATTAAACTGTATCATATATATGAGGCGGCAAATTGAGTTTGTCTTGCTGCTTTCTGCGATGGCATCATAACGTCTTGGTTTTTATTAAGAACACAATCTAAGCCAGATGTGCGTTGGCTTCAAGCCACGACTTTAAGAAAATAAACAAAACGCATAACCCACTTTGTCTGCTATCCACGAAAAATTATGCAAACGATGCAGGGGCAGGGAAAAGTTGGCAACATTTCTGTTTACAAACCCCTTATCACCACCACCCCTATATCATCATCACGAACTTCGACGGTACTTAACGCTTTGCGATGTTATTTTGTTTCATTTCATTATGTTCAAGTGTTCACTTCGTGCGCTTTTCTGTGGCTTAATGCGGATTTTCGACCTCGTCTTCTTTTCAATCTACGGCTGCGGCTCAGCCTCAACATAAATATAAGCAGTCTTTTTGGTAAGCAAACATGTTCAAAACCACAATATAGCCAGACTCGTTAATACATCTGCTTTTTCTCCAGGTACACCTAGCCAACTGCTAACTGGGAAAAAAACAGCCAAAAAGAATGCCAGAATGGTAGGGGATTTGCGTAAAATGTTGCTAAGCATGTAAAAACCCGTGAAAAGGTTTTTAAATAGTGGTTTCCTTAGTTGGCATTCCTTAATGAAAATGTTTTCGTATTTAACGCTGCTTCCTAATAATTCAAAACTTTCTTGTAACTAAACATTGCATTGCATCCAAATTTAAATGATAAAACGGATATAGGTTGAACTTTACTAAATACACTTAATTAAATGATTTGATTTCCTGGACATTTATGTTAGTTTGTGCTTGGGCACATGCATCATGACTCACCAACAGCTTTCGAAATTATTTTATGTGTTAATGCCCAAATTGAAATCCAGCCAAGCCGAAATGGAGATCAAGCTGAAAATTCCTAAAAATACAAGTGTGTGGATATACGCGCAAAACGTCAATAAACTAAATTGAACGAGAATATTTATAAATTTGTTTACAATTGCTCTATGAAAATATTGAAACGGGGCAGCGGAATTTCCAGCAGCTACCCGAAATATATTTCTCAATTTCTGCTCTTATTTAACACTTCTACGGCCAATCACTTGATATGCGAAAAGCCATATTTATTTATTTATTTATTTGGCATGCCATTTCCCTCGGGCTGTCAAAGCGCTAGGCAGTATTTCAATCACTTAAAACTCATCCAGCGATTTAAGTGGGTATGTATGAGAGGTTTCTTATATCCAAAAATATCTATCGGACTTCCAAGCGATTTTAAAAGAACTGAGTTTCCACCGTGCGCCACGAGAGCGAAAATAAAACTGACGGCCAATTGTTGTGTTTTTCAAAAACACGAATTCTTAAACAAACTTGTGCCACGT